TTAGTAGTCGTAAACCCAAAAACTGGGTCAACTGTTCAACGACGGATATATAAAAAAAAATCAGCACAAAATAAAGATTTTACACTACTAAATAAAGAAAAATAGATTTCATAGAAGAAAACAGTGAAAGATGTCTTACAAAGTTTCAAAAGGGCGATCGTTAAGGGAAATTTATAGTGTTTGTTATGAGTACTAGTAAAATATTTAAGATACATTGTTAGAAACAGTATATGTGTATAATATTAAAATTTGCTACACCTCAATAAATTGTCAGTTTGAACCGTATCGATAAAATCGTAAAAAGTTTTTTAGCATTACATGCAATTGCACGATAAACTATTTTGAAAACATTAGATATTAATATTGCAATTTAATTAACAATAATCATTGTTTGGTGTTTAAAAAAATAATCAAAATTAAACTAGAAATAGTGTAAGCAATTCCTCAAGCTCTTCATGCTTACCTTTCTTTAATACAGTTCCATAAATACTAATTAATACTTAAATTAATTTAATATGTAATTTTTTAGAAGAAAGAATTTATACATACTCAGAGAGAAAAAGAATGGTCGAAATTATCAGAAATGTCATTATACCATACAGAACGGTTATTTGACTAGAATTAGTTTCTCCGAGTACAAATGTTTAATTTTTTCTCGGTTGGATTAATCGGATTTTAATCGGATAAGGACAAATTGTTGGAGCGATAAAACGTAGTTAAATATTGTAAGTCACTAATTGTGAGAAAAGGACAATTTTCTCGAAATTATTTGAATATGCATGGTGTTAGATTGCGCGCCATTCTTCTGTGATCTATAATTTAATAGAAACGCTTGATATAAATGGCGGAACACTTTGTGAACCGTGAGTCAAGATCATAAAGCGTGAAGAGGTTCTTTTAAAACTAAACACTCGATTATCACTCTCTTAAAAAGAAGTTTACTTTACTAAATGGCTCAATTGCTGTCATACTTTTTTACTTATAGGGTTGTCAATCAATTTTACGATTCTCTTTTCTTTCCTTACGTAATCAGTTCATAACTTGGAGCTTTTGAAGAAAAAAGTACAGAAACATTTTGCAGTTTTTTACATAGTAAATAAAGGTGACTTTTTTTATGGAAAATTGTAAAAAATCAAGCAAATCTTGACCAAATTCTTGTATTTTAGACTGAAAAAAATGAATTTTATTTTATTATTAAGGAATACGCAATGATTGATGATCTATAGTACGATTTGCAGTTTTCTTAAACTTGCGAATTTTAGTCTTTCTAAAATGGGAAATTTTAATATTTGCGCAATGATGAAAGTCTTTTTAGTTGAAGGTAATCGAGTTATTTTAAGAGGATTTTTGGTTGTGTTTTTTATTAAGCGTGGGGTAAGAAAAACAATAATTTTGAAAACTAAAGGTAAACCGTTTATATGCCCGAAAAAGTTTCCAAACGAACTGTTTAAACATCGTATATTTTGGATTTTATTACCAGAATTATGGCTTTCTTACCATAAATGCCACTATTAAGTACGGTAATTTTACTAGAATTCATTTCAGCGCTTAGTACGAGGAATACCATAAACGAGATACAAAAATTAAGTCTCCAAACATGTCGATAACCGTTAGTTTGCGTCGAAGAAAAAGGTAAATACTTAAGAAATTTTAAAATGAGAATCACAGTACAGAGGAAACTATTTTTCTTATGTGCACTTTTCTGGATGAACATTTTTTGGCAGATCGTGAAAAAGTCGAGAATTAAAGTTACTATAGACAGCAGCAAAGCAGTACGGAAGAGCTCGTTGGAGAGCCGTAGCGTTTCGGATTTGCCTTGTATCAGCCAAAATGAAGGGTGTTACTTAAAGGTGAAAGAGTGTAACCTTAAAATTTTCAAAGTAAATACTACCCATCGCACTAGCTTTAATAATTACTGATTCATACCTTAGAGATATTTTTTACCTGTGTCATGGTGTCTCATATTCCAATAGGCCAGAGAAATTATGATCATTTCTACTTTCCCCAAGGCTGAAAGCTCATATATATTGAGACATTTAGGATTATTCAAATCAGGATCATTTCTACTTTGCTAAGAACTATCCTGGTTACCTGAGTATTCACCTTTTCTAAGTCTACACCAGGGTTGAAAGCCTATATATATATCGAGACGGAAAATAGCAAATACTGGTACGGAAAATACTTCATTCTATTATTTTTTTCGAGCAAAATAAATTTTTTGCTACTACCAAGATTTTTTTTACAATTATATAAAACTGATTCTTTCTCCAGAAGAAATAGGTAATGTTAAATAGTTTGGAGAAAAGAATCGAGTTACTCCTCCCAGAAACTATCTATAGCTGAAACGGTTTTTCTAACAGTTTTTCCATCTCGCTCTCACCACTGGTCTACACCACTTCTAGAAAATAAAATACAATTACAGTTTGTCTACGGTAAGAACTCCCTCCTCCACAAAATCGAAAGCCGTCTGTTGCTATGGTAACAAGAATGGCTCATTTAAGGGAGGGTAGTTATTCTTCACTCATGGCTAGCACAATAGACCAAAGAAAAGATTCCCTTTCTCACACCCATAGATATAAAGGCCCTCCTATATTAGTCCCTGCTCACACCGACGCGAGCCAAATCCTGTCCTAAACAATGATCCCATACCTTTACTTGAAATAGTTATACCTCGTTACGATAGCCACCACCATGGGTCCAGACGAATGGCTAGGGGAGTTCATAGTTTAGACAAGCTATAGTCAGTTCCTGACCACGGAGCTTTTGGAGCTCGCTCCAATCTGTTCTGACGATGCAGTTCGTAAACTGCATCGTTAAAGCTTAAAGAAACTGAAAAGTTCAATCAGTTTTTGTTTTAAGAGAAGAGTGGAGATATTATTTCCTTCTCTTTTTATTATAAATAAACGCTTTTGTTCGGAATTCAAATGTTTTGAAAACAAACTTCTCATTTTGAAACAAAATATTTTCCAACACTGCAACGACGATATTGTTTTGTCACTTTTCAACGAAAATAAAAATTCATGTAAAATATTGAATATTTGGTGCATTTAAAGTAGGTCTATCAAACCCCATTCAGTAGGAACGTTCTCTAAGTTTGTAAAAATCGTGAATTGTATTTTATTATCCTTTTTACGATATAAACTTTTATTATTGTAGTTTAATTTTCCGAAAGAAATATTATTAAATACCGAAGAATGACTTCCAGTGAAAATTATGAATTGAATCAATCGAAAATTCAATTGTTGAACGATTAACAACAGCTAACCGATAAACTTCTCAAAATTGGAAGAAATTTTTATCCGGTTTGAATAAAAGACTCTTGTATTACTATGCATTACTTTATTCCATCATCCCTGTACACTTCCCAAATAGCAAAATAAGGTTTATTTCCAGTAAGTAAAAACCTTTTAATGCAAACCTAAAAAGGTTCGTAATGCGTGTAGACTTTCTAACCTCAAAACGAGATCTGTAACAATCTGATCTATTCTGCGCACATTAGCCAAATCCAAAACCTTTGAAAATAATCTTTTATATAAAAACTTCAAATTGAGGTTGACTTGGGGTTTTCAAGCTTGAAAAAAAACCTTTAATGAAGCTAGTCTCAAGGTGAAAATAATCTTAAATCTAGTCTAGGTCATTATAAGGTTTCTTTTCGCAAAGTCTTGTATGCTCAGCTAAAATCCACCTTGTCATGAAATTTTAATGGACAATGCAATTTGATCCTATCGCTAGTGTGACGTCAGATAAAACGTCATTATGGACTTAAGTGACGATATTTTTTAAAAAAGCTTTAAAAAATAATTTCTAATCCTTTTAGGATGAAAGGTTTGAAACTGTAATATTTTTGCTTTAGTGAAAAAAGATTTTTAGTACTTACCAACATTTTCCTGACAATAAAAGGAAAATTCTGATACAAGGTGGCCGTAAAGGCTATATGACACGAGGCAACCTAGTTGAAAGCAACTAGCGGTTTCGGTGAAGTTGAAACGTGTCATATGATGGTTGCCCGGTTGCTTTCAACTGAAGTTAAAACCTTTCAACTTTAGTGGAGCAACCAGATTAGTTGAAACGTGTCATATAGTAGTTTCCAAATACTTTCAACCTTAACTAGCAACCATTTAGTAAACAAAATACACGTGCTGATTCTGACGCATCCTGAATTTTTATCTTTTAAATTTGAACTTGGTTTAATCTTCTGACTATGACTAGTTTTAAATGGAATTATAGTGATATATGTATTTTTTTTTTGTTGAAATTTTTCAAACGTATCCTTGTCTTTGGGACATAAATAACAAAGATTATGCGAATAAACTAATTCCCTATAAACTAATTTCCTCTGTGGAGATATTAAAAGTTACAAATTATTATTGAATTTTAAAAGTGAATGAAAAAAAAACTATCATATTACTAATTACAAATGCTTAAATATTTTAAAATTCAAAATTATATAGCTTGAACGCTAAGCTTTTTAAACTCATTTTGATAGATATTTCTTTGACAGATATTTTCGAGTCCTAATGAAATTTTGAAAGCAAACGAAAGAAATTATTTTGCTTTTAAATCACCTTTCTTCTGTTCTAGTTCTTCTTTCAGAACCTCAGCTATCAGCTCAACGCCTACTTCAAGTACATCCACAATAATCGCTTCCATGATAATTAAAAGAGCTTTTAGCAATAAACTTTATTGAAATATAAGTTCTGGTTTTGGACTGTTATATACTATAATAGTCCAATACCAGTGCCGTTCTGATATTGGACTATTCAGAGTTGGTTGAACAAGCGAAGGTTGTAACGTGTGATCACAAACGAGAAACCAAAAACTGGTTTCTTAACTTAGTTGCCTCCACTTGGTTGCCTAGTGTCATCAGCACTTAAGGTTACGTGCTTTCTGGGTTTAGTCAGCTTGCATGCTTTTCCAATATACGCACGTATATTGGAAAAGCATTAAACACATAACATAGCATACTTACGTAGTTGATACAGAAAGAAGAGAAGAATACATTTAATGAACAACAAATAACGTTTATTGTCATTTTTATATAATTACACTAATAAAGGATTTATATAGTTACAGGCATATCAACAGCGGGGCTTACAACATCTGCATACATGGTCCACTTCTAACCTTTGCTTTTCAAAATATTTTTTTTTTAAAATCCAACAAGAGCATTTTTTTTGTACAATAAGGAAATATTTATATAAGTATGGGAAAGTACTAAGCGTAAATCATTCAAGAAAGAAACATGAAATATTTCTACAATTTAACGATCTAAGATCATGACTGGCTTCTTGGAGGTTTGTGCTACTTTATTGTAGGAGCTTTCTTTGCTACCACGGGTAGTTTTTCTCCTTGTAAAAACGGATTTGGTGACTGTAGAAAGAAAACAAAAGAAAAAAAACAAACATTAGAAATGGTAATAAAATCTTCCAAAGAATGTAAACAATAATTTCGAAAAAAGAATTGTCTGTTGCTGGAATTTTATTATTTATTTATGTCTCCGTCTAACAGTTCAGTCAAGCCAGATAACTCTTTTGCTGAGTTTTCCTAACTCTTGCATGACTAATTTTTAAATTTAAGAACGTCTTAGCTTAATAATCAGATTTAATTTTATTGCAATCATATGAAAAAGATTCATTAAGCATTTAAGGTAGATTAACAATAAATCCAAATGTATTTATATTTTAAATAATTATCGTAATAGGCTATTTGAATTCTCTTAGAAAAGAAATATATTGTAATAACGTCACAAAATTTCTCACAAAGACGATGCGCATTTTTAAGAAATGTATTTCTTCTTTTCAGTTTAATGCTTCAATTTAGAGACTGATATTCATTTGCTAATTCTATTTAAGAAATAAATAAAGCAAGAAAAAAAAATATAAATAAATAAAAAATAAGAATAACGTGCCCCATTCACTGTGAGTAACAGAGCACTTTAAATTTTATGCTATAATAAACTAATATGTTTGCCATCTGTATCACGTTAAAAAATAAATAAATTTAAATTATTTTTTGCTAAAAGTTGAATAAATAATGTCAAAAATAATAATGTTTCAAGCTCTGTTTCTTGTTACGTTAAATTTAAATATTGCATAATTTTTAGAGGTAATTCCTTTGAAAATTATTTTTACGCAAATTATTATTTAGTTGCATTAAATAAATAATATAAATTATTTTTGAAAAAGAAAATTTGCGATTATTTTTTTAATAATTTCGCAAGTTGCGCAAACGCGAAGAAATTTAAACGGACGTCTTGAACTAATGAAATAAGTATGCTTTTTTTCAAAGTTAGTTAGTTTAAAGCAGTTGAAAAATAAAACATATATTAAACTAAAAATTTGTGACACTTAATTAGATGGTTAGAAAGAAATTAAAAATTCGTGGTCTGAGTTACTGGATGAAATTTTCGTTCTTTTTCTTGTCTCTATTTCTTTGTTTTTATGTCCGACATAATTTATGGTAACGTTGCATTTATTATTTTTTTTACATTTCATAAGTTTGTTTGACTGTAATATTTATTTACTTTATATTTGGCATAACAGAGCTGCATCTAACTCTGCGTTATAAAATAATACATTCAAGTCTCCGAAATAGAGTTTTTTCCCTAAAATTTGTAATTAATTTTCCTACAAGAGCAATAATTAATCCAAAAATCATCATCGACTTATGTATCTAAGGATCAGTTTTGAATATTTTCCTGTTTAAGTATTTTAATTTTGAAAAAAACTATTGATATTTTAATAAATATCATACATTTCATATTCTAGTACCATCTCATCTTTTCTTACATTAGCTAGCACCATCATTTATTTACTTTTACAGCCCTCACTATAACATTTTATCAAAATAATGTAACCGCTTAGTAGCAGAGAAACATCTCTGCTTTAAACAAGACAGAAATTCAAAAGTTATTTAGATATCAAATTATTTTCTTATCATTTGAATATTTCAAGCAAAATAATGCTTTCTTGGATATCATAATAGTTTTTATTCTTATGAGTTAAAAAATTTTGAGTCAAAATAACTTAAAATTCTAAAGAATAAAGAAACATAAAAATAATTTAAACAGTATAAAAAACATCATAAAAAAGCATAAAAAAGAATTTTTTTTCAGAATTTTAACAGTTGCCCAATTATATATAAAGATTATAAATTATTCTTTAAATGAACATCTTTTTGTTTTTTTCGATAGAGGGCGGCACTATATTTAATGAAATCCCTCTAATTTCTCTAATGTCTCTAATTAATCTCTCTCTCTTTCTCTAATTTCGTAATTATTTCAGAGGGTGAAAAATGAAAATTGAACTTTTAATTCTAACTTGAAAAAGATTTGAATGGTCATTCATAATTTGAAACAAAAATTTCCTCTTTTATTATCTTCGTTATGTAATTACTTGTTTCGTTTTTGTGAAGAAAAAAAAATGTACAAGAATTTTGTCTTTAAATAATGACTGCAAATCTTTCCAATGTTTAGAAAAAGATACATATTCATCGGAATATTTTTATTTCATAAGAGGAAGTTCTCATAACTAATAAATAAAAACGAACAATTAGACTTCACAATTATGGCAAAGAAAAGATTAAACTCTTTGAAAGAAAAATTCTACTTACAACGTTTTGCTTTTGATAGTGGAATTTTTTGTTGATAGTCTATATTAATTTCAATAAAAAGTTAATATTTTTATATAAATGTTTTATTTTCAGTTATTTTTTTTTAAAGTTGCATTTTTCTCAACAATAATCTTAATCTGATGAAAGCAAAATAACAGAAATCTTAATAAAATATATAAAGAAGTGGGGAAACATGAAATATGTTTTAAAATTTATGAAAGAGAAACATAAATTTTATTTTATTACAAACTTTTAGTTATTTACTTTGTTAAGTTATTTGTTACAATTTTGAAAATAAATACAGGACTCATTAACAAGAAGAGATAATTTTAAGATTTCTTTAAATCTGCATAACTTAAAAGCGATTGATGATTCAATGCGACTACACAGTAAAAAACTACGGTATAAAATACTGGCACTTTGCGTGCATCATCAGTAAAATCCACTTTACAGTAAAATCCATTTTTACTGTAAAATATTATACCGTAATGTTTACAACAATATTTATTTAATTAGAGTGATTCAGTGATTTTCCGGAAATTATTACTGTAAAAATTATTACTATTACTGTGGAAATTATTACTGTTTTCTTCCGTAATATGTTCCGATAAAAAGTACCGGCTCCCTGAGTGCCGATTCTTTTTACTGTAATTTGATCTGGAATTTTTAAAGTGGATCTAATTTTTTTAAACAACATTATTTCGCATTACATAAAACTATTGCATTGACTACTCTACTTTTGACACTGGAAATTTTCTAAAGAAATTAATTTCAATTTAAAACTATTCTAGATTGAATGAGATTGGGTTTTGTAACCGTGATATTTTTATAAACATGATTAACTTCCATCATTTTTATGTGACATAATGTAAAATTACTTTTATTAATTGTACTATTAAGACACATTTGATTTTAATTTTTTCATATCCGACTTCTTTCAGAATAAGTAAAAAATTATTTAAAAAAAAACAGTTCTCAGCTTTGTTTCAGTCGTAATGACCATAAAAATATTTTCATTAATTCTTTTTGAGTTTTATTCCTATTAATTTATTTTTATTTATTTTATTTCATTCCATTTTTGTCGTAAATACATGAATTCAATTTTCAATAGGAACGATGGATTAAGTATTTTCATTAAAAAAAAAATAAAAAAAAGAAATTACCAATTCTCAAAAATAAAATATTATAATTTTGTAAACAATTGATCAAGAATTGATCAAGTACAATTGATCAAGAAAATTTTTCTGCAAATTCGTGAAAAATGATAATTCCTGTTGTTAACAGGGAAGAAACACTGCCGCCATAGTTATTTGTTTATTTTAGCTATTGTTATTATTATTATTATTATTATTGAAAGCTAAAAAGAAAAAATATTATTTAATTTGAAAATACTTATGAGTTTTACTTTTTAAACGCATGATTTTTGACAAAGAATTAAGAATCTTGAGTCAATTCAGAAAAAAAAAAATATATCTTTTTCTGAAATATTCTTACCATAATGCCAATTTAATATTTTTGTCACGTTTTTAGTATTTTCACCTTTTGTTTTAGAATCCGAAACAATTATGTTTTGGCCCAAAAATTTTAATCTTTATGAAGCATATTTATGAGCATAAATTCACTAACATCCTTTAGAAATTGCATTGTTTCCTTCTTAAGTTCATTCATATTCTGCGTGGGTATAAACACTTCATTAGTATTGCGGTAGTAAAAATCGGAAATAATGGAAATCATTTTAGGCAGTTAATGTACTACACATTTTGATTGAAAAATAATTTATAAAGTACACTCTGGATGTAATGCAAAGCATAATACATTTCTAAGCGTTTGAAGTTTGTTTAGTGTTTCATTAAGGGTATTTCACATAAAAAAAAAATAACAATTAATTATAAGCTTTTCGAAAAAAATTAATACTTTTTTTTATGCCCAAGACAGCAGAAATTTTCAAATTGTTAGTTTCATACTGCTTAAATAGGAAGCGGACCCTAAAAATCAAAAAGAGTAATTTTCTTTTCAAAATTTTAATGCAAATTTTTTTGTTGCGTTAGCTGTATCAAGCAAAAATAATAAGATCGATGAAAAATATCGAAATTTTATCGAGATATTTATTGCACTTTTTTCTATTTATTTATAAATTGTTAACAATATCTGTCGGGTTAGCAATATCTTTTGCTCAACTTTTGAAAAAATTTTATTTTTTTAACGACATGAACAATTTTTTGTTCGACACGGACCCAGAATTTATAGTTTGATTTACGAATTTAAAAAGTTTTGTATAATTCTTTTTTTTAAAAAAACTGTTAATTTTTACTTTTATTTATGTAAACCTATATCATTTTTAAGAAAAATTTTGGTTAATAGTTTTCTTATCGTTACTTATGATTAAAAACTAAAAATGAAATAAAACTATTTTTTAAAAAAAAATTATGACATAAGGATTATTTGCAAATTTTAATGTACATAAAATGTGTTCTAAATTTCTCTATAAGTTTTTAATCTTGTTCTGAGAAACTTTGAACATAGGTATTTCTTTCGTACATGCATAATTAACACATAAAAAAAGTTTTTTACTTATTGAAAAAGCAAATCAACCTTCATCTATGAAAAAGTATCCCGTCATAGAATCGAGTTAACATTGCTTATATACTAGTGAATTGAAATTATATTTTTGTAGTGGTAGATACACTACAGTACTCCCCCACCAGAATTATATTTGTAATGGAATTCGATGAACGGATACCACTAGCTGATTCATTGCTGTTTTGTGAGAAGCCGGGAGAGTTGTATTAACATCACCGTACTTTTTTAATTGCTGATCGTGAGAGCTGCATTACGTTCACGGCTGTGGTCACTCCTGTGTTGCCATTAGCAGTCGAGTGAATACGTTATGTGTGATCGAAACTGAGCAGCAACAGTACGAGGAGGTGGATAATGTTGCAGTCACAAGTAGCGAGTCAACTGCTCAATTTGGACCATCCATCGAAGTAGACGTGTTCGAATCGTAGTGGTCGTTCTTACCAAAGTAGGTGGCTTCACATCACATCCGAAGGTCACCAATGTGGGGAAAGAGTAATCGACAAAGTCAACTTTCATCTATGCCCCTATCATCTATGCCCCTATTTCAACTATCAACCACCCTGCTAATAACATGTAGGACCACCTTTAGTCCTCAAAACTGCTAGCACCCGCCTTGGCATTGATTCCACAAGGTGCTGATAGGTAGTCTGAGGTATCTGGTACCAAGCGCTCACCAACTGGCCCTACAATTCCTTAACATTGCGAGGGGGTAGCGTGGCAGCACGAATTTGGTTTTCCAAGTAGGACCACAAATGCTCTATTGGATTAAGGTCAGGTGAATTTGGGGGCCAAGACATGACTTGAAAGTCACTGGAATGTTCCTCGAACCAATCCATGACGATTCGACCCTTATGACATGGTGCATTATCCTGTTGGTAAACACCATCCCCCGCAGGAAAAACTGTTGCCATGAATGGGTGAACCTGGTCTGCAACTATGTTCAAGTAGCTTACAGACGTCAGGGATTGTTCTATGAGGATTATGGGTCCTAATGTGCCCCATGAAAACATTGTTCCTGGGCGAGAAACCATGAAAACCTGGGCGAGCCCATTGTTATAGATGGAGGGTGGTCATAATGTAATGATTCTTCGGTGTATATGCTGGTATAATACATAAAATCTGATAATACAACAATACATGTGTAACAAATATTTAAGTAACTCGGTTAAAAGCTTAAAAATAATAGTTCTAGCCGTTATGAGATGCTTTCCAATGAAAAAATAAACTTTTGTTTCATAGAATTTTAATTACGAACTATTCAAAATAAAACTCAAACGCATAAAATTAATTAATTACTGCTATACTCTTCTTATACATGACAAATACATCTAGTTAACCTTAGTTTTGTAAACATGCATTGAAAAGATAAAGAAAAGCGAAATAAAGTATCAATTTTTGTAACAAAAAGTAATCTAATTAGATGGAATGCTTAATTTTAAAATTAGTTCTTTTTCTTGGATCCCATTACAGTTATCCAAATAACATGTTATTTTTTCCTGAAACGATTTATCTAATCGCATTTTCAGAAATAACAAACTAATTTAAACAATATTTTTATATCTCAAAGCATAGGTTTTAAATGAATTAGTATTATAATTATAAGGATGAAAAGTATATAATTAAAAAGAAAACTTTTATTTTTGATACTTTTTACTAGTTATTCAAAATTTGTAATCGAGTAATTGTTTTCTTTCAAACTGTAATTGCATCAAGAAAAAGTTTTCTTTTATGAAAGAATAATATAAATTCAGACTTTTTTTTTTTTAAATTTTATGAAACATATTAAAAATTGAAAAGAAAACTGTTTATCCTAAACGAGTGTTTATTTTACCGTTTTGTATTTTATCCTCAAGCTTGATTTGAAGTATGCGACGAACAAAAAATCATCAAAACGAATCAATAGTTTAATAAGCGAAATTTTAATTAAGCGAGAATGTGCATTTTTCTCTTCTCACGAGATTCGTTTATAAAAAATAAACAAAAAGCTTTTCTTAAAGGTCAATGTTTTGTTAAGTATATTTGTAAAGTATGTTTGCAACGCATATGCTTTTTATTGTTACAAAACCATAGCTTTTTAAGTATTTACTTGGTTTTTTTTTCAAAATTTAAAACTAGTTTTTTATCTTTTTTTAAAAAAAATTTCAGGTCTTGTAAGTAAAAAAAAAAAGAAAATCAGAAAAAAAATTTTTTTCTTCAGAATAATTAAATATGCATTTTCTTTAAAAGGAAATAAACAGGAATGCTCTGTTTACAAGACACATTAACTGATTAAAAAGTATTTTCTTTATGATCTAGTGAAAAAATAAATAAGATCCTTGTATACATTTGACCAGAGCATGTTTTTAGTTAAAATGTTGCGCAAAATTAGAATGCCCTTTAATACCCTTTCTCACTAAACTCTTAAATTTATTTGTAATCTCGTTGATGTAAATTTTTGCAATTAGCAATCCAAATTAAGTGTACTTAAAATTTGAAAAGAAATGTAAAAAATTTACTTTCTAGCAAAATTTGTTCTATAACATAGACACTTTTAAAAACTTTAAATACTATTCGTATATAGAAGAAAAACATTAAAATGTTTGAATTAAAGTGCGTTTTATAAAAGAAAAAGAGAAAAAGAAACTGCAGAACAATTATATTTTCTACACGGAGAAAAAAAATCTGGTAAAAATATTGCACTGCAAGGTAATGACATGCCTGGTAAAAAAAAGAAAGAAAAAAACCATAATTCTAGTAATAAGAACCAAAACACGAGGTATTTAAACCATTCATTTGGTATTTCATTTGGGCAGATTGTACAGAATATCAAATTAACACCGAACGAAGCAAAAAAGAAAGGAATAATAATTTTGGAAAAAAGGGCGTTACTTTTCTAAAAACTGATTCATAATGTTAAAGTTCTTCCACTAATATAAAAATGATAGTATTTTATTTAAGAAGGAAAATTTCTAAAATTATGGTAAAATAACAAGTGGAAGTCTGTCCATCTAATTAGTTAAGTTAATTGTAAAGAACAATTTTAACTTTATGGTTTTTTTTACCACTCACAACCAGCATGGTTTCAAAATAGTAAAAAAATCTACTGGACATAGGAGATAGTTTAGCAGTTTTATGGTTCTGACATTTATGCATGAATGAGAGTATAGTATTCTAATGGTCACAAATTAGGGAGATAAGGATTGTGTTGTGAACACTAGATTCGAATCCTCGTTCTGTCAGTTTATTTAAAATGTCGTTAGGTTTAGTGCTATTTAAGAGGTATTATATTTAGTACTATTATACATGCGCATTATCATTCATTAAGAGGAATAATGCGCATGTATGCCGCAATTATAACTTATGAATTTTTCTTGGTATGATCCAGTTATTTTTTCATTCAGCCGTATTTTATTTTTAAATTTTTAAAATGTGAAAAAATTACAATATAATTAAATAGATAACATTAAAATAAAAGACATTATTTAAGAATAATTTACACAGTCCTAATTTAAATCTTATTTCTTATTTAATTTAGATAATCAGGCTGATATTCGCCTAATTTAATGAATGCTTTTGTTTGTAAAGTCTTTAATGTTTTCCTTCGACATCACTAATTAACACAGAAAAACTAAACTAAACTAAATAAACTAAAAATGCTAATTAAACTTTACCTTATGGGAGAAAAATTTCTTCGCCACAACTTTGTGGTCACTTCTTATCTATAAAAAGGAAAATTAAAATACATAAGGAAAATATAAAAGTGGAATGGACATTTAATTTTATACGATAGGTATAGTTCGTTCACCAGGAGTTGGCACTTGGCTCCGCCTTCTTCACGTGGTATTCGACGACACTATTTCGCTATTTTAGGGAGAAGGATGCGAACAATCTTGAACAAGGTTGCTATTTGGAGATCGTATGACAAAAAATATTTATTTAGCAATCTTTATGGGCATTTTTTTAACATTAAATATTTCATAAAATTGATGATATTTCTCTCTTTTGAGTGAATAGTTTGTCCTTTTTGAGACATTTTGCTACAATATCTTTAATTTGCTACTGTAACGAAAGGTATAGCAGCCGATGATAAAGCAAAGTAAGTGATTGAAAAATAATTCACTGGTTGGTTTTGGCACGCATTAAGGCTTGTCTCAATTTCAAGCGCGGAGACGTTTCTCCTCTTACTCCCACGCTGAAGTGAACTCTTCGTCCGAGGAGATGGGGTCAAGTACCAACTCCCGGTGAACGAATTATATCTAATTGAATAGGTTAGAATTAAATTTAAAAAACACGTAAGCAAACCTATATTTTGAAATAAACAAAACGTTATGTTTGAATAGTTTTAAGTAAAAAATCTTATTTTTATTAAAATTCGCTTTTTATTATTATTCTTTAAGGATTTAAAGTTAAAGAAATTTACAGCAAAAAATACGCAGAGTAGTTTAAAATTGAAAAAGAATAATAGTTGTAAAACTTACGTTTTGAATGCAATTATTTTTACGGTAAAGAGATTTCTTACTGTGGGCGAAAATTTAAAGTTTCTTGTTTTAGTTTTGGAGAATAGCTCAAATCATCAAACAAAAATTTACATAAGAACTAAACTTTTGACTTTTCTGAGCAAAACTGGCTACTCAACTAAAAACTAAAGCAACTAAGAAAATAAAATGCAAAAACAAAACTAAATTGACTTAAATTCGGTATAACTTTCTTTGTGTGAGAAGTTAAGGAATGTTGAAACCAAACCAGTTAAGAAAGCGGAATATATATTTTGTAAAAGCGCATTTTTGTATGTGATTTTGAAACTATATTTTGAACTATACCCTTTATGGTTGAATAACTGTATGAAGCACGTATGATTACGTTCTAAGCATTTAAAACTTCATATTTACTATAGTAAGACCAGACTAATTGAATGAGTTTACTTACATCCATATTTTGCATCAGTTTATCTAGAGTAGCATCTGCTAAACCCTCATTTTCAAATGATCGGGCTAAGGCGTCGATTTCATTTTCTCTGGTGTTTCCTGGGCAATCAAACATATGTTCTGAGTCACATAGACAGTTTTGAGCTTCTTGATAACTCCGAGAAAATCGAGCTGTATTCTCAAATTCCTCTAGACATCCATCTTCAGCTGTTAAAATAATTAGATTGAAACTCAATCATATTTAACTTCATTTCTGGTTTTAAACTTACACAGCATGAATAATTTCCAGATAAACATTTGTAACCTTACATAAAAAAGTATAAAGAAAACTTCATTTTTTTTAAAAGAAATTTACTTCCTTAAAGGTTGAAACGTCTACTTTTCTACAACTATTACTTTATTAAAATCTTTTATTGGTGTTTATTGTATCTCCACCCAAACAAAATCTAAATACTGGACACAGTTAATTAAAATTCCCGAAACGTTTCTGAACATATGGGCAGCTACGGGGCATGTAGTTTTCGAAAACGTTTCTAAATATTTCGGAAATTTTTTTCTGAATTATTCAGAAACTTTCGCAGTTGTTCAACAATACTTTGAATCATTTCTTGAAGTTTCAGATTGTTTTTCTTTTTAATATTAAGAAGCGTGATATAATAATCTTAATATTATAGGAACCTCTTGTGGAGCTGGGCTACCAACAATGTCAATTGTCATCTATCAAAAGATTAGATAGAATCGACTTAACGTCTCATATATACTGGGGAATCGGAATTTAATAGTTGCAAGGGTAGTTACGCTAAATTAATCCTCACGAGAATTTTATCTGTGATAGAATTCGATGAGTAGATACGACTAGTTAATTCTTTGCTGTTGTGCGAGAAGCCGGGATCACCGGGATTAAGATCACCGAGTTTCTGAGTGCTGGTCGTGAGAGTATATTAGGATCACGGTTGTGGTCATTTGAATCATGCAAAGGGTTGAAAAATATGTCAGGAGATCGGTCAATATAATTTCACTTTTTTCGTTATACCTTAAGAACTTTTTAAAAGAATGAAATGATGTGTCATTGCGGCAGCTACATTTCCTCGCTTGCTTAGACAGTAAAGTTAAACGCGTAAATAGGTACAAGTACAAAACTATACTTTTTACACAGAAAAAAAATTCCGAACCATTAATCTTAGTCTTATTCAATTCAACGTAAAATCCTACTACTACCGAAACAATACATCACATGATGTCCTAATAGCAGTATATACTCTCTTTCTCTCCACCGAAACCAGATTCGCGAGATCGTGGAACTTTTTAAAACTTACTAAGAGTAGGCTACTCATCAGTTTGCGCCAAGTTTGGATATCTGGTTTTCGTCCATTTTTGAATTATCTTTATTGAAAAAATTTTATAAACTAATACAATTTGATAAATTTGATTTGCTTGACTTATATTTGATCAAATTGCTCGCAACTGCAAAGGCTAGTTAATGCTGTGAAATATTTTTAAAATCTTACCTTTAAATCCCAATGGGCAGGGGTTGGCTGGATTACAAAATGCAGGTAAAGAATCTGTTTTTACAAATTGTTGATTTGGTATGCTTCCGTCTGGTTTTAGTAGTTTATAGCCTTCACCATTTCCTCCTAAAATAAATTTTCTTTATAAAGTAATGTATGAAGCTGCGGAAATGAAAAATGGATAGTTGTTATATAATATGGTAATGATTGAGGAACCACTAATAAGGGTTAAGAACTAAGGTAAGTGTAGTGTGTCGCAAATTGTATATAACTGGTTAACCAGTTCACAGGAGAGTATTTAAAGTGAATGTAAATTAGAGCGAAGATGAGCGAGTCTAGAATAACGCAAAACGCACGAGTATGATTTTCATTGCATAGAACAGAGAATTGCATTGCATATTGATAGAGAATAAGTGACTGTATTGCCAGCATATATCATCGAACGGTTGCCGTTTACGATGAACACTGTCTAGGAATAAAAGTTTTCGAGAACAGACCCAGGGCAGTCAAGCACCATAATCTCTAATGCATTTGTCACTGCTGTTGATGAAATTATTAGCGGTAATGGAAGAATTACATTTTGAATTACGTAAGATTTCATGACAATCGTGAAGCACTTTGAATACAAGAATGGCGCAGTCATCTTTCGCATTTAAACATCGTGAAATAACGAGTTGTTCTATCCCAGACGCATCCGTCTTAGCGAAACCTTACATTCAGTTCAAATGCTCTCATATTAACTATTTAATCAGTAACACATATTGAATCTTCAGTGCCCTCCTATTACTTTTTTTATAATTCTAAACAGGGGTGCTACTATCGTTACTAAATATCAGATGCCATTTCTTGTTCCTTACGCTATTAAAAAAGAAAGTAAATGTTATTTCCATGCAGTGCTGTAATTTAACAGAAATGTTTCTTATGTGGACTTAACTACAAAAAAATTTTAGAATGTAAAAAATGCATAAAAGACCCCCAAATGGTTTATATAGTATATAAGTATATATAAGTCTTACGTTTCACCAATTTTTTATTTTTTTGTTTATTTATTTCAACAAAAATGGTTAATTACATATGTATTATTATTAATATTAATTAATATTAATATTAATTAATATTAATATTAATTAGTTATTGCTCATATTAATTAATATTAATATTAATTAATTATTACTAATATTAATTAATATTAATTAGTTATTATTAATATTAATTTATATTAATTAACACAAATATTAATTAAAATAGTTTGAGTCATACTTTTCTTAACCACAAAATATTCATGATAAAACTATGAATTAATTAAGAACACTGATGATAAAATAGAACGTTTTCAAAAAATGTTGGGAAAAAATCTTATTAGAAAAATAAATAAAACAAACTATTAAAACTATTCAAGAATAAATATGTGAACCAAGTATTTTCCTTAAAATGCTTTCCTCAAAGAAAACCAGCGAGAAAGAAACAATTCTTTTCAAAATTTTCAAATCGTTGCACATTTCATAGGTAAATAAAAACGCTAAAGGACCATCTAAACTATACATTTATGTTCTTTTTCAAACCTTTCAACAGCAGTGCTGTCAAAAATGTTTTATCTTTGTTCTGTTAGAAAAACAAACATATCGAGCGACTAATAATCGTGAACGTAGGGAAAAACAGCTTATTTACGTGTTCTTAAAATAGCTTAATAAACCCTTTTCCCCCTTTTTTTATCTACAAAATTTTTGACGATTTAGTCTGTTGCCATAGTATTAGGGTACGTTTGTCAACCCTTCGCAATCCTTTCACATTCCTCTTTGATTTTCGATCGATGACACGCCTATATCGATTAGAATTTCTGACTAGACCTTGAACTCAATATTTTATTTGGATGTTTTCATTAACAAATTCTTCTATAAGTCACTTCAAGTATTTATTCCGAGTTTTGTCACTAACCGTTTCATTACGCGCCAAGAATTCCGATTAAGTGTCTCCTTCAGAGCTCTTTTGTCAAGGAAAATAAAAAAGAAAGTTACAGTTATCTTTTAATAATACTTAACATAAATCAAAACTTTAATTTTAGTCTTTGCACAAGGTGTTTCGAAATTCAAGCGACGAATTCAGTGAGGTGAAAAAAGGCATCAAGAGAATGAAAAGCTACTTTTGAAAATACATAAAGACATCAAAAGGATGAAAACTTACCTTAGAATATATGTATAAGGAATCAAGAGTATGGAAATTATTTTAGAACACATATAAAAGGCGTCTAGAGGATGATGAGTACCTTAGAACTGGGGGTCACAAGCCACGTTTAAATTATAAAAATCATGAAGAACGCATGCAGACTCATGGTGCATAAACATGCAATAACACAGCAATCACACATCATAATTTTAATATAACCATAAACATAAAAGATGATTAGCTGTTAAGTGAAAGTTCTGCTAGATTATGTTAATTGAACAAAACTGAAAGCAAAAGTTTAGACTTAATTTTTGTTTCAATAGTTAAGCCTTTCTAAACTATTTCCGACTTTCGAAGGTGGGAAAATTGCTTTTACCATCGCTTGTCTAGAAAAGCAAATTATAGTGTGCCAAGTAGTTACCATGGCAACACCTTCTTTCCTGTGAGTAACTTTAGTTTTATTTTTTAAAGCTAATCGCAATCAATTGTAATTGCACACCCGAGACTAAATTAAATGCCGATCTGAGAAGGTTTTCTAATTTAGTTTGCGGAGCATAACTCTCTAGAGAAGAGAAAATTCCGTTACGTAATTTTAAAGATTATGAAAGCATTAATTAAGTTAAGAAAAATCATTTGTTATTTTAAAATATATCAATTACTTTCTTTTAACTTCAAATGAGCCCAACATTTAAAGTGACGAAACATTATTTCCAATACGGTTTAAAAATGCGAAGGCAGCAATTCCTGACTGTTACGTGGATTTTTATTTATAGCTTTCTAAGCGAATTGTGAAAATTGCGCAGAATGTCAAGTTAAAAATTATCTTAACTTTTAATTTAACTTTTTTAAATTTAAAAACTGTGACTTAACTTTCTTAAATGGGTAGAGAGGGTTAAAACTGGATATAGTTCGCCCCAGGAGTTGGCTCTTACCTCCACCTGCTCGGACGATGAGTTCACTTCCTCGCGGGAGTAAGAGGAGAAACATCTCTGCGCTTGAATATGAGACGCCCCTTAATGCACGCCGTGCGCAAACATTGAATTCTTTTTCAGACACTTACTTCACTTTATCATCCACTATTATACCTTTCGTTACTCTAGCTAATTAAATATATTGCGGCAAAATGTGGCAGTCCCGCAGTGGACTGATCCTTAAGACACGGTTCCCAGCAGATCACCGAAGTCAAGCATCCCTGCTCGCGGTCAGTGCGCTGGTGGGTGACCACTTGGATAAGTCTGCATAGGGGCCGAGGATGTGTGGTATTGATCCTCGTTAAACTGTTCTACCGTAAAGTGCTCGACTTCGCGTGCAGGTCGTCGGGCTACCGAAGCAGGGGTGCCCTCCCCTCTGCAGAGGATCAAAATTGTGATGGCATGTCTTCGGGGTCATCCACAGGGATATTTCCCAGACCGTCGCCAATAGCCTATTGTACAGCTCAAGTGCGACGTAAATGAACTACAACAACAACAACAAAATGTCTCAAAAAGGACAAACTATTCACTCAAATGAGAGAAATATCATCAAATTTGTGAAATATTTTATGTTAAAAAAATGCACAATAAGATTGCGAAATAAATGTTTTTGTCTTACGATCGCCGAATAGCAACCATGTGCAGAATTGTTCACATCCTTCTCCCCAAAATAGCGAAATAGTATCGTCGGATACCACGTGATGAAGGTTGAACCAAGTGCGAACTCCTGGTGAACGAACTATACCTCGATTGCGCAGAAATTAGTTCTGTTTTCTAGCCGACAAACTCTGAATTACACTTTACTAGTCAAGAAGAAGGACCTACCATATTGGCGTGTTGTTGTTGATTAATTCACGGCATTTGTGTAGCTAAGTTTGTTTGTCTAAGTCAACTCCAATGTTTTCTTGTCCTTATCCTTTCCTATCCTTACATTTTGGTCATTGAAGTTATAAAAATTATTTTTAGTCCAGCTTATCATACGTTTACTAAAGGCTTAAATTATACTCTAACAAACAATAAGGAATTCGTACAATATTAGCACTCTTCTGTTTCGTTCTGACAATCCCTGTTCTGGAGCTAAGAATGGGTATGCTCTTGATGTGCATGCTAGGCCCACGAAACCTGTAGTGCAGCGGAGGAAGAAGACAACTCCATCAAATGGCCCCGGTGAACAAAATTTATTGCGGGCCTTTTCTTTAAAGCACAAATAGCCTTATTTACTTATTTTGTAAATAGTACAGTGTGCAAAATAAATAACGGACCCTGAATAGCTTTTCGATTTCAATGAATGCATCTTCACGCACTAAATCTCAACGGTTCGGGAGGGTGACCTCAAATATACTAATTAATCAGTGCAGACAATATTTTAAATCAGATATAAAAACGTACTTTCCCTGAATAAACATACCTTTTTTCGATGGATTCGGATTCCTGACCCCAAAAATATTGAGGATAACCACAATTTTAGAAATATGGTACTAATAGTTTGGACAGGAGAGCGGCCCAAAGTTTAGAATTCTTGATGTTTATTTTCCTTTTTACGCATTACGCTATATCTCAAAAACTTTTTTAACAAATTGAAAAATTTTTGGACTCAATTATAAAATTCTTTTATTCAATGATATTTCCTCGCAAAAAAAAAGCTTTTAGCAATTGTTTATTTTTTTTTATTATGTTATTTAATAATAATCGAAAAATTTTTTAATGATAAGGTTTACAATTCTAAAGAGTGCAATTTTACATAGCGAAATAAAAATTTTGAGCTAAATTGGTGGAATAGTTCTGAGATAATGAATTTTGAGAAAGTTGTACTTTTTTAAAATAACTTTCTTAAGTAAAGAGAATCATAAGAACTTTAACACTAAACATACCAACACTTAATATATACCTATTTCTACCATAGACGTTCAAATGAACAGACTTTATGTTTCTTGATTGAATATGTGAAATATGAGCGTTAGGAAGGAAATAAACTAAAATAACTTTATTATAGTTAATCAAAATTGTATATTGCCAATTTTAAAGTATTACTAACACAAAGATTAAGAATTTTTAATTCATTGTTCAACGCATTGTACAGGGTGCTTCAATAGTACATTTTCCGTAAACATATTTCTTCTAATTATTATTATTTCTATAATTCTTATAATTATAAGAATATATGAGAATTATAATTATTTTTATAATTAATATTATTTCTTCTAAGATCTTGTGCTGTCTCGATTGTTTCGACATTTTTGTGGGTAAAAACTATCAGATAGTTAGAAATGAAGTAAAGCTATAAAAATAAAACATAAGCTACTTACCAATGCATTTAGTTTTTGTCACTTTTTTTTACACAAAAATGCCAATCTAAACTTTTAGGTACTTTCTTGAAAATTGAATTCACAGTTATTCTGATTGAACTCACTACGCAACAGTCTTTGCAGAAATGTGCAACTCATCGAATGCAATACGTTGAACACGCATTACATCGTCATTTCCGATCCGATAACCTTATAAAGCAATAAATTGTTCTCCTGGTCAAATGACCGATTATGGTAGGAATAAGTTACGGTAGGACCGATTATGGTAGGAATAAGTTACGGTAGGACCGATTATGGTAGGAATACGACAAGTATTATTTGAAAAAAATGAAATCCAAAAGAAATAATAATAGAATATGAACTGTATATAATTGTTAGAAAAAGTCATGAAGTCAAATGTGTAAAAACGAACGATAAAAGATATGTGCATTTTCGATGCAAAAGTTCTTAAACGGTCATTTGACCGGTTTTGGTATGTTCAGTGTTAAAAATATAGATTACAAGCGGTGGTTACGGAACACACTATGTAACTACTTTTTCAAAAATTACTACCTTGCATTGACTTTTGCCCTGTCAATGAGCTGTGTTCCAAATATTCTTCATCTCTGATATTCAGATCTCTTTCTAAAATGTCATCTCNAAAAATCTTTAAAAATCCAATTTCATTAGTGTTTAGACAGCAAATAATTTAAGACATTCTCTTAATGTTGATTTGAACTAATAAGATGAGTTTTTAAGTAATAATAAAAAATACCTATAGCTTAATGGGTTTCATCATGATTTTTTTGTAGCTATTTGAAAAAATTAGTTTAACACTTAATGCCGGGTAATTCTTAAAAATGTAAGTCTACACTAATTTAATATGTACATAAAATACAAAACAAATAACCCTTCAACAATTGTAATACGCAAGCATGATCTCTAGTTGGAGTAGGAAGGTATGAAATTGCCACATTACAATTAATTTTTTCGTTTTGAAATTTTTAGTTTCTACGTGGATTTAAAAAGGTGGAAATATGGACGGATATTTATCATAAATGCAGTTGCTTCTCTAAGAAATTATAAGGAGGAAATCTAAACATATAATTATATATTTATGGCGAAATAAACATACTTGAAAATTTGACAATGTTTTTGATAAAAAAAAATCTATCTAATGATATGAAATTTTATAAACAACCTCAAGGTACTCCCAAAGAAATAAACTAATAAATAAATAAAAGATGTTTAATTTAATAATTTGAATTCTGAAAAATAACCTTTTAAAATACTAACTTCAAAAGAAAAGCATTATTATAGAAATGCATCAGAATAAAAAGAAATGTTTTTTTTGACACACACTTTAACAGCTGTATTCAATGTAAATAGTTAAACTTTTTCACCAACTACCTAAGAAAATTCTAAACTCACACGGGAAATATACGTTTGTAAACATGATAGAATATCTTTTCTACCTATAGAAGACAATATAAATAAAAGACAACACAACTATAGTTGAAGCACAAGTTATTGAAATACCGGAAAATTTGTTCCATATAAAAAAAAGTTGATATGGATCATTTTTCCAACTATTGACAAGTCTTTTGGGACATGTGTGAAAGACGAGTTGAAGGCTATGAGAAAGATAGATTGAATGAAAATTGTCTAGTATATATCGGAAATTCTTGAGAAATATTCCAAATATTTTATATATTACAGTCCTTCATCATGTTTTGAAGAAATCAGAGCTTTTGCAAATAAATTCATTTTATAGGGAGAAAGCTTTTACAGATAATGGTTTTTATGTAGTTATATGTTTAAAATCAATTGTAAATTGTGAAATAGAAAACTATTGTTTTGAAATTTGGAATAAACATTTCTTCTTTGTGAATTCCCTGCGAATTGAAGTTTTATAATAAATAATTTAAAAGATTTTTGGTGAAAATGAAATTCAAATAATGTTATGAAGTATTAAATTAGTTTTTCTTTTTTAAAAAAAGAAATTCGTTTGTGAAGGTTTTGTCTAAGTTAAAATAATTTTGATATAAAATACTATCTGCGAAGTCATTGTTTAAAGTCTCACTAAAAATTTTTTACAAGTTTTGCGATACTGTAGGACTTTCGGATTTTTACATTTACATTAATACCAATTTTGAGTATAACTATAACGAGTTTTAAAAGAGTTTTTCTTTTTAAATACATTTTGAAAATAAGACTTAATAACGTAAGACATAATAAGTTGTAATAACAATTGGTGCAGCAAAAATAATTTGAATTTTGTTAAAGAAGGTAATTTTGTTAACTGTACTTAACTAGAAATGTAATTTCAGATTGATGTAATTTATCGAAATCCTTTTGAAAATATAATTTTGAAAAGAAAGAGAGGAAAGTACGACTAAAAAATATGGAAGACCAGCAGTGCATGTTTTTCCTGAAAGAAATTAAAATTGGCAGTTAATTAGAAGCTATTAAATACTTCTCCACAACTGAGTGAAGAATGAACGATTCTATTTATTACCAAGGTTATAATTCTAAATTTAAAAAGTTTTCTCGGTGAAAAACTATTAATAATTATTTCATTCAAACAAATTACATAAATTTTTAACGGTCTCAAATATTTATGTAACTGTATTGGGAGTGAAAGAAATATTATCTTTTTATAGAATTGGATTTCTGTTCAAATTAGATTGATTTAACAAAGATATTAATAAATATATATTCATTGAGAAAAGCATTGGATGAAATATGAATTTAATTTCTAAATTACTGTAAACTTGTTTTGCCTATTTTATTATGGCAGCGACTAAAAATATGTTTCTACATTTTTTAATTGAACTTTTTTATGCATTTATGAGTCAGTTAAATAATTAACTTTCGCCTAGAATTAATATTATTGAAACATTTTGTCTCAATTATCTATATTAAATGATTCTCGATATGGTCATGTTTTCAGAGAATCTTCATTTAAAACTTTAATAATATAGGATAGATAAAAAGGAGTTAAAAATTTTTAGATTGCCGACAAGGTCTCTGCGATTTGCAACTTCTTTTTGCTCTACGAACCATTTATAAGCCTTGAACTATCTCCTAGCAGTGGATGGTCGATAAGAATTACGCACCCTGCTCGCACCGACCACAGTGCTGACGTAAAACATCTCGAGTGGTAGACGGATCATGGGTTAGAATCCTCTTGCCGTCAGGCTAACAGTGAAAGGTTTACATTGTATTCCTCTCCATGTAACGCAAATGCAGGTAAGTTCCATCAAAAATTCCTCAACGTAGGCAAAACTTCTCCCAGTACTTGATCAAAGAATTCCCTTGTCTTCTGGATTGGGTTCTAAATTACAAGGCTACGGAGTTGAACATTGGTAGTCGTAAACCCAAAATTGTGTCTGCTGTTCAACGACGGTTATAAAATTATTTAAAAAAAAGTATAGATTTTTTATCCCCTGAGCCGCGATGGCTCAGGGGATAGAAAATTCGCCTTCCAATGGGTGAACCGGGTTCAAATCCCCTGAGATGGGTATTAGAAACGAATTCGCATCCGGCTTGCACTAACCACAGTGCAGACGGGAAATATTCTCAGTGGTAGACGGATTATGGGTTAGAGTCCCCTCGCCGATAAGCTAATCATGGGAGGTTCTCGTGGTCTTCCTCTTCATGTAACGCAAATGCTGGTTAGTTCCACCAAAAAGTTCTCCACGAAGGCCAATTTCTCCCAATACTTGATTCAGGAGTTCCTTTGTCTTCTGGTGTGGGTTCAAAATTACAGGGCTACGGAGTTAAACAATAGTAGTCGTAAACCCGAAAAATTGGGTCGGTTGTTCAACGACGGTTATAAAATTATTAAAAAAAGTATAAATCATGGCAGCGGTGGCTCAGGGAATAGAGCGTTTGACTTCTACTGAGGTGACATTGGTTCGAATCCCAGCAGTGGCTGGTTTACACAAATCTGCTCCCGACTCGCATTGACCACAGTGTGGACTTAAAACATCATCATCAGTAGTAGACGGATCAAACTATTTCCTCTAAATGTAGCGCAAATACGGCTTAGTTTCATCATAAAGTTCTCCTTGAAGGCTAGTTTGTCCCAATGCTTGATCCAGGAATTTTTCTTATCTTCTGGTTTAGGTTAAAAATAACTAGACTACAGGGATGGAAATTGATAGTTGTTTACTCAAAATTGGGTCAGTTGCTCAGCGCCGGTAATATGAAGTAAAGTATCAATCAAGGTTGGAATCTTACCCTTTGACGCAAATGGGACACAGGTGTTTTTTTTTATATATTTTTTCTGATATTCTAATAACAAGCAAAAATATTTTTTGATGTTTATTAATTATAAGAGATAGTTTAACAGTTACAGAAAAATATCTTAGATTATTGGAATTAAAATTGTATTGAAATATAAAAGCCAAAAAAAAAAGTAATTTGAATTGTTTTTTTCATTCGTATCTAAACATTCATCAATCGATCTTAGATCTAAATAACTGCAAATAAGACTAAATTCGAAAAATTGTTGTTTGAAAGTGAGCCGTTGTTGGAAGATTTTGCGCAGAAAAAGACACTGGTGTTTCATCCCAGCCCTGGTTTCATCCCGTATTTCAAAACCATAAATTTCTAAAATGTTAAGTATAATATTTTTCACTTATTTTGATCTAAATTAATACAAAAAAAATGAAAAAAATAGGCTTAATAAAAATTCTGCGTCAAGGGGTTAAAACGTTATAAATAAAGAGTATAAGATTTTTATTGCTTAAAGGAAAATTGTAAAATAAAATATGAATTATAAATGAAAAAAAACTTCACTCTCTGCACACAGCATATAATCTGTACGATATACAAGTAATGAAAAATATTCGCTTTCTCTTTTTTTTTGTTATTGTCAGAATTTTTCTAGCTCTTCTGCTTCTCTTACTTTTTCCTTCTTTCTTTCTTTTATTGCAGACTCATTTTAAGACAGATTATATGATTAAGTTTAAGTTTCTATCCATTAAGACAATTCAGATTTTTTTTTAAAATTTCAGCATATATATTCATATAAAAAAGATATCTTTACGACTTTTCATGATATCTGGTTAGGAAGAAAAGAAGCATATTCTTTTACTTGTAACTGGAATTTTTTTTTAAACAGTGAATAGTTTTTATCAAAATATTTGAATTATAAAATTGCATTCTCTAATTTACTTTCAGTAGAACTCGAGTGATTTACAGCTTAAGAATTTGAATTTGGTATTTATGTTTGTATCGTAAAGAAATTCTGTTTATTTGTTGAATGCGGATAACTAAATAAAACAAAAAGAGAGCTGTCACAAATTTAACGAAATTAATAGAAGGAGAATCACATACCCTCGTTTATGTTACGACAAGTCTTTGTTGTGACATTGCGTAACGTGATAAAATATTCTCATGATTTATAATATTATAAATATTTATAAATTTAGTAACCAGTAAAAATAACAACATTAGTACAATTATTTAAAATATACATTATATATTTATATTTTTTTTAAATCACATTATAAAGATAAATCTGGTAGCAATACTTAAAAATGGCACCAACAAACAGAAACTCATTATTTATAGAATTTGACATATGCATATAATTTTAATAATTGTATTACCAATTCAGGTCAAACAAAAATGATCTTAGCTAAACTTTTAATGAATATTATTGTAAAACGACTTTTAATGCACTTTTTTTATAATAAAATGGCTTGAAACTGGTAAAATATAATTAAAGTCACTTTCTTTCAGATAATTTGAAATCGTTTGGTCAAAATAATAATATATTTCTCTTGGTTTAAATATCAGTTTTTTAGATATTACATTAATACATTTTTTAAAAAGAAATCGAACCTTTTTAAAAATATGAATATAAATATTTCTCTAAAATTTTAAAGGGAAAGAAAATAAAAGTAATTTAGCAAAACATATCTTTATTTTGAAAATCGTTTTCACTTTCTAATAATTATGAGTTGGCAACAGATGGGGAATTCTATTATATGATAATATTCGTAACTTCGTGAAGATATACGAACGAAGTTACACATTATTATTAATTTGAAATAATGTTTTGATTTTTAAAAAAGCCAGTTTTAGAATTCTATTTGGAACTCATAACTCGTAAGTATATATATTTATATATATTACTTAATCAGATAAGTTTTTTACTTCAGTTTTCTTCAAAAGTTCTTTTCAAAAGTTTTCTTATATTATAGACAGTTTTATTTATATTTATGGTATATTTCTCTTATATTAATGTAATATTGTGGTTAACATCAAACAAGTAATATTTTTCAGTTTTTCTGATTATCTTAGTGGTAATCTTAGATATTATAGTAATCTCATATATTATAGTAAACTTAAAAACTACTACAGTTTTTTTATTATTCTTGTTTCACTTTTGTTTCACTTGCTATTCTCTCAATTGATGGTATAATAATAATTTTAACTATGAAATTAGAGTAAATATCAAGACTACTACTTTTTTAGTTGTATTTGTTTTACTAGTTATTCTTTCTACTGATGGTAAAATAATATCGGCTTAGTTATAGTACTAAACATCAAAACTTCTTCCTTTTTTAATTGTGTTGCTTCAGTGTATATTTTGACAACCCATGGTTTAATAATAATGTAAGCTTAGATATTATACTTAACATCAAAACTACTACTTTTTAAATTGTACTTGTTTCACTATGTATTTTGTTAACTCATGGTATAATAGTAACTTCAGTTTAGATATTATAGAAAACATCAAAACTACTTTTTTAATTAAATTTCTCTAAAGAAGCTTATTCAATATAGAAATTGTTGGGATAAACTTCCTTCTCTTAGTTTCAAAACGTTTTCACACACTTAAAAGGAAAAATATTTACTAGTAATATTTCGGAAAAATATCAGGACAATTTCATGTGATTTCATTGCTATTTTTATTCAGTTAAGTAAAATGACTCAAATTGTCGGTAATCTTTTGTGCAAAGAAATATTAATTAGTTGTTTTGGGTTTAAAACTAACTTGGAACGGTTATAAACTCACGTTTGGGGAATTAAATTATGAATAAATGCAAA